TCTTTCTTTTGCTCTTTGTTTGCTTCTTTCTTTCTTTCTCTCGTTCGAGGGGCAAAGAACCAAGAGCCACGGAAAGCAAGAACTTGTAGGAAATCCTTAAGGGGCGAGCCAAACCAGGGTAGAGCCAAACCTTTGAAAAAAAAAACATGGCCCCTAAAACCTTAGCCCTAACCTTAAACTCCCTGAACCGAGTAACCCTAAACCCAAAACCCTAAACCTAAAAGTCCTGGATGCTCGCCCGAAAGTGCTCCCGTTCTACCAGCTTTCTGACCTTCATGGTGTGGGCATAGGACACGCCACATGTGCCACAGTACTTCCTCACCTGGCTATAGTGAAGTAGGGATTAGAATCTTTTTGAAAAAACAACTCTAGGGATTAGAGTTTAGGGTTTAGGGATTTAAGGTTTAGGGAGTTAGTTTGGTGGGTCGTCGTGTTAGCCCAAATTGATGTTTTCCCGAAATTGGGTTCTTATAGATATCCAAAAATGGTACCCCTAATTCTGGGAAACCCCTAGAATCCCCCAAATATCCCTGCCAGGAAGTAGCTAGTGTTTGGCGGTGATTGAGGGGCTTCATTTTCCATAGTGCCTCTGAGAGAACGCCCCAAAATAATGCCTCTGCTACACTCCTCAACTTCCTCCTAACCGGCAGAAAGTCACCGAATCAAGGATTTGCGTCATCTTCCGCGTTTTACGAGCAACGTCCGCCATCAGGTTCGTCAAGACCTTGGGGTTTGGTGTCTAGGTCTTGGGGTTTACGGTTTAGGGTCTAGGCTTCAGGTTTTCGGGGTTGAAGGTTCGGGATCAGATTTTGGGGGGTTGTGGTTTACGGTTAAGGATTTAGGGGGTTGAGGTTTAGGGTTCAGGCTTTTGGGGGTTGTGGTTTACGGTTCAGGGTTTAGGGGGTTGAGGTTTAGGGTTCAAGGTTTTTGGGGGTTGTGGTTTAGGGTTTAGGGTTCAGGGTTTCAGGGGGGTTTAGGGTGTAGGATTCAGTCGGTGTGGAGCTGTGCTTGCATCAGGAATCTTTATGTATATATATGTAAGCCCTATATCGTAAACAGTGTCCCTAGCCAGGTTACCAAGTATTCCTCCATAAGCCCTGAACCCCCAGCATCCCCTAAATCATAAGAGTACCCTGTTTCCTAATGGTCAGCTTCAATAAGGAGACCCCAAACTAAAAAGGGAAAACAGCTACTACTAGGGTACCTAGCCATGTGAGCTTTAGTCTAAAATTCCTAAACCCTAACTCCTAGCATCCCCCTCAAGAACCTTGCAGTACTCCCCTATCTCATCCCCCCTCTAACCCCCCTTGAAGGGTGTTAGTCCCTAAAACCTTAACCCTATATGAGCCCCTTTAAGGAGTTTACACAATAAGCCCCAAACCCTGAACCCTGAGCTCTGAAACCTAGACCATAGACCCTGAGCCCTAATTCCTAAACCCTAAGCCCTGAGCCCCAAACCCTAAACCCCCAAACCCTAACCCCTAACTATTGGAAACCCTAATCGCTATAAATCCCAGTATAAACACAGTTTCCGTTTCATCTTCCATTTTCGTTTCCATTTGATTCTCCATTAACCCCTTAAACCCTAAACCCTGCTCCCTAAACCCTAAACCCTAAACCCTAAATCCTAAATCCTAAACCCTACAAACCCTAAACCCTAAACCCCTAATCCCTAAATCCTGAGCCCTCCAGCAAGCCCTTTCACATCCGATTGCCTTGCCTTGCTTACATTCCCTAAGGGTCCAAGGACCCAAATAAGGGGGCTTTAGGGCCCAAATCCTAAACCCTAAACCCCTAAACATGTTAATGGTATTTGGGCCCTAAACCCCTGTTGTCTAGGCTTGTCTCAAAAGCCTTTTTCGATCAAATCCAAGGGCTTGGATGTAAGTTTGATGAGGGTCTAGGGTGTAGGAATTAGGGTTTAGGATTTAGGGTTTAGGGTTTAGGGTTAGGGGTTTAGGGTTAGGGGTTTAGGGTTAGGGGTTTGGGGTTTAGGGTTTAGGATTTAGGATTCAGGGCTTAGGGTTTAAAGTTTAGGGTTGAGGGCCGTTTTAGGGGTTCTGGCTGCCTCGAAGGGACTCTAGGTACTGTTATGAGGATTTTTTCGAGGGATTCTTATAGGCCAGAAAAGCATTTTGCTTACCCCAGCCCTCAGAACAAAGACGCTGTGATTACCACATGGCTTGTACCAGGTCTTTTTTACTTGGGGGTCTAATTACCAAAATCTCCGTATTCCTTTGGCAATAGAAGAGACAATAGAAACTAATGCTGTTTCGTTTTCAAGGTTTTTTTGGTTTGGGGTCTGGAGGGTTTCATTGCAGACCATGCGTCTACTGTTGGGATCCATTCCTGAATTCCCTGACCGCCGATCACTTTAGAGAACGACGAAAGGGACCAAATACCTCAATAGTATATGGGTGGTTGTCAAAATTATGGTCCCTTTTTGGGTCCCTGTTGTAATACGGGGCCTAATTTAGGGGACCCAAAAAGGGACCATAATTTTGACAACCACCCATATCCTTGCAGGATCATGTGTACTGTACAGGCATCAGGGCCCTTGCTGCTGAATTATGGAATCTCCACTAAGCAGTTGGCCCCAGAATGAACTTGGCTGTCTCCAAGTACCCACCAACAAAACAGTCCAAATCCCAAAGCCTCTTCTTAAGGAAAAAACCCTTTCAGGATTTCTCCTAAACCCTAAACCCTAAATCCTAATTGGGTTTGGGTTTAGGTTTCCGGTAATAAACGAGAATCCCTGCCGAGGCCGCTGATAAGTCCACCTAGCTGTTGAGCTTCTTAGAGCGAAGGGGGGTCAAAGGTGGACCTACCCAGCCTCTTCGGCTACCTAAACCCTAAAGTATGTAGAATTATGGCCTTTTGGTCTGGTTTTAAGGGTTTAGGGCCATTATGTTACATACTTTTCGGGTTTAGGTAATCCTTAAGCCCTGACCCCTAAACCCGAAATCCTAGATCCTAAACCCTGAACCTAATCCCTGAACCCTAAACCCTAGTTCGGGTTTAGGTAGGTAAAAAAGTATAGAATTTTTCGGTATAAGTTGTTACAATAAGAACCCAGGAACCAAAAAAAGTACTAACGTGTAGTACTCCAATATTGGGTAAGTCTAGGAGCACTGATGAAGAGGGAAGAGATGACCAGCGACACGAAGGTGGCGAGAATGGCTACCCAGCGCTCGAAGGCGGTCCGAAGCTCCACGTTAGCCCGCAAGGAAGATGCTGGCAACCTGGACAATGCCCATTCTACACTTCGTACCTTGGTGTGCCGAGGGTTTAGGGTTTAGGGTGTAGGGCTTAGGGTGCCAGTTCAAAAAGTCATCGTGGCAAACTCCGAATGTAGTAGACTGGGTTGCTGTTAAGGAATTTAATTTAAGTTACTACATTGGGGAAACCATACTAACTAATTACTCTATGTATATATATATATATGTACCCACGGTAATTAGTTTTGAGATTGCTTAGCAGCAACCCAGTAGAGGTACAAGAAGGAACGAGTATGTAACGCCGGGGATGGAGCGGCGTGGAGCATCATATGCAGGATTGGTTTAGCTGTTCCGAACCCTAGACAATCAAACCCTAAGCCCTAAGCTCTCTAAATGCTGAGTATGGTTGTGCGCTGCGCTTTCTGCGCCCCTGCCCTATCCCAACCAAGGAAATCATAGGATTCTCCTCACCGCAACAGGGGGTAGGGTGAGAGATTGACTCTCTTTCACTCGTGTACAGTAACCTCTACCCATTCTCTCGAATGCCATCTGCTAAAGCATTTGGCTAATTCTCGGACCGTCCATTCCCTCCATTCTTTATCTGCTTTGGTGATTCTTCCTATCCTTCTTCGTATACTTTATGCAATATCCACAAGGCTCACGCCTAAGCACACCACGGGGCGGCAACCGCCAACCGTACGTGCCTCAATAAACACCCCATATGGTATTTTGCCAAGATATTGGGACCCCACACTAGAGCCCAAAATGATATAGTCCTTGTAATGGAGACCCTAACAAGGTATCAATAATTTTGGCAAACCCCCAAACGCTAAACCTTAAACCCTAAACCCTAAACGGGGTCCCCCTATTTGCGGAAACTACCATATCCCCTGTCCGGCTAAATCCAATAGTTTTTGTATTCAGCGAAGTCTCGTATTGCTGACCAAATGGTGCCTGAGCAACTCAACATGCGAGGTTTGCGAAAAACAGGCGTTTGCACACCCCACCTTCATATGAGCTATAGTCTAAACCCCTAGCATCCCCCTTAATAGGCCCTACAATACTCCCTATAGAACCCCTTTCAGGAATTAGTACTATATAGCTATATATAGCTCATATAGGGACTTTAGAAGGATTACGAGGGCGAGGCTCTGTACTCCGAGTCCGCTGAGGACCTTTTTTTCACATTCCGAAACCACTGCGAAGCGAGGGCACGGATGCTTCTTCGAACGGGCGGTGTCCGCAAAAAAGCCCCAAAACTCTACCTGAACCCCAAAACTATGTAAATATTGGCCTTTATGGCTTTTATTATGGGACCATAAACCCTAAACCCTTACTTTCGGGGCTTAGGTAAGCCTCAAGATCAGCCCCTATAAGCCCTGAATCCCATAGCCCTGCATCCCAGGCCCTACAGCTTCAAGCCTTGAACCCTCCCTCACACCCCAAACTCTGAAAGCCTGAACCCTACACCCGAACAAAAAGGCTAAAATTGGATGTATCTAGCAAAGCCTAAACCCTAAACCCTAAACCTCCAAAACTCCTA